CCACCGAGAGTGTCATGAACACTGGTAGATATACCATGGTAGCCCTCCACTGAGAGTGTCATTAACACTGGTAGATATACCATGGTAGCCCTCCACCGAGAGTGTCATGAACACTGGTAGATATACCATGGTAGCCCTCCACCGAGAGTGTCATGAACACTGGTAGCCCTCCACCGAGAGTATCATGAACTATGGTAGCCCTCCACCGAGAGTATCATGAACTATGGTAGCCCTCCACCGAGAGTGTCATGAACACTGGTAGATATACCATGGTACCCCTCCACCGAGAGTGTCATGAACAGTGGTAGATATACTATAGTAGCCCTCCACCAAGAGTGTCATGAACAGTGGTAGATATACTATGGTAGCCCTCCACCGAGAGTGTCATGAACAGTGGTAGATATACTATAGTAGCCCTCCACCAAGAGTGTCATGAACAGTGGTAGATATACTATAGTAGCCCTCCACCTAGAGTGTCATGAACACTGGTAGATATACCATGGTACCCCTCCACCGAGAGTGTCATGAACAGTGGTAGATATACTATGGTAGCCCTCCACCAAGAGTGTCATGAACAGTGGTAGATATACTATGGTACCCCTCCACCGAGAGTGTCATGAACAGTGGTAGATATACTATGGTAGCCCTCCACCAAGAGTGTCATGAACACTGGTAGATATACCATGGTACCCCTCCACCGAGAGTGTCATGAACAGTGGTAGATATACTATGGTAGCCCTCCACCCTAGAGTGTCATGAACAGTGCTAGATATACTATGGTAGCCTTCCATAGAGAGTGTCATGAACAGTGGTAGATATACTATGGTAGCCCTCCACCGAGAGTGTCATGAACAGTGGTAGATATACTATGGTAGCCCTCCACCGAGAGTGTCATGAACAGTGTTAGATATACTATGGTAGCCCTCCACCGAGAGTGTCATGAACAGTGGTAGATATACTATGGTAGCCCTCCACCGAGAGTGTCTGATGAACAGTGGTAGATATACTATGGTAGCCCTCCACCGAGAGTGTCATGAACAGTGGTAGATATACTACAGTACACAGAGAATATTGATGTGTCAGTAGACCCTGAGGCAGTGATAGAAATGTAAACACTCCATCAAAAGAAAACACATTAATCTCTAAGAACAATATGTCAAACTTTACTCTGATAAGTTTTGTGATGTTTTGTTATAATGCTGCATTGCTATGTAAAATGTCACGTTGGTTAATCAGAAAGAAAGTAATTGAATGTAAGAACCGTGGAGACACACTTGCGACAGAGATATTGCATTATGTGTGCTGGTTTTAAAGGTGGAAGGTTGGTCTGTGGTTCATGTCAAAGCTGTCATGATGCACATATATGTCAGGGATTTTTCATAAATCGCATTTGGTCATTTTTGTGATTTTATCAACAAGGATGTTCTTCTATCATTACTACTCACTCAACCACACAACTTGACTCACTCATTCAACCACACACCTTGACTCACTCACTCAGCCACTCAACTTGACTAACTCAACCACTCAACTTGACTCACTCAACCACACAACTAGACTCACTCACTCAACCACTCACTCAACCACTGACTCAACCACACAACTTGACTCACTCAACAACACAGCTTGACTTACTCAACCACTCAACTTGACTCACTCAACCACACAACTAGACTCACTCACACAACCACTCACTCAACCACTGACTCAACCACACAACTTGACTCACTCAACGACACAGCTTGACTCACTTAACCACTCAACTTGACTCACTCAACCACACAACTTGACTCACTTAACCATTCACTCAACCACTTGACTCACTCAACCATTCACTCAACCACACAACTTGACTCACTCAACCACCCAGCTCGTTTTGCTCAACCACTCAACCAATCGCTCTCCTGTAAACAGCCCTGAACCTTTAAACTGTACATCACTCTTTCTCGTGCCATAGACAGTTGTCGAACATTAATCATAATTCTTAATGTCAGAGTCTGTTATTTGCAAAATAATTCAATATAACAAACTACGTCCAGATTACACGATCTTAGGACTGGATTGTGAGCCTGATTAAGTTCATCAGGGATCAGCAACGATGTCTTGTATTTGCATCAAATCTTGTAATGAAGCAGTGGCAGCAGCTCAGATTGTGAAGCCCCCCCCCCCCATCCCCCCTGATGGCTCGTGGTTTGAGTTACAGAGACACTGAGGACTTGGGCATTCATAGCTTGAACAGTTCCTGCTTTGGAAAGTGTAATATACCTGAATTAGCAGCGGCTGTGTATAAACATGTCTGTATTCATAACTTGTGAGATTGGCCTAACTATGAGGGAGAATAATTGCCCATGTCCAGAGACTGCAGTCTGATATACAGCCACCGCTGAAGCAGGCTCATTGTTCAGGATAATTCCCCGAATATTTCAGTCTTGGAGATAGTCTCGATAACTTTGAATGCTTTTGTGCCTGTTATTGACCAATGCATTCTTTGATTTATGTGGTATATCTAATACTTTTATTTATTCGCCCACCATGCTGGAAACTCTGTGGTATTCTATGAGATGCATTTTGTCGATTTTCAACAGTGGGTTCTCATGATAGCGGGGATGATGGTAGCCATTGCTGGTCCTCCGGGAGTTGTCTGTCAGGATTAGAATCCCCAGGGATGGAAGATGAATAGACAGTTTGGTGAAAAAGTGTTTGTGGCTTTTTGAGTTTGTGTTTAAGGAATACATGGCCATTTTCTTCTTCTATGGCGCTCATGTGACCCACTTCAGAGGAACTTGTGAACACTGATTTCATTCTGGGGATGTGAGCCACTTCAGAGGACTTTGTGAACACTGATTTCATTTTGGAGATACTCGTTTTGGAACCTGTGAACACCAGTTTGATCTCAGGACCTGGATGAGAATTAAGAGTGTGTGAGTTTGAGGGGAAAGGACCTGAGGTTTTCTTCTGAATTGAGTATATTTTATTGATGTTTTTATATTTTAGTTTAGTCTTACTGTTTCCATCTCTTTCAAACTTGGAAAAAGTGTGGATTAAAGGAAAAGGCTCACTTATGATAGTTTTTTAGAAACGTTAGGCCCTTGGTGAGCTTCATCATGCAGCCTGTGCAAACAGTTCAAAGATTGAATAATAGAAAAGAACGAAAATGAAAACTGTTTATAGGATTACTGTTTGTTTCTTGTCTAGTAAAGAAAACAGAACAATTTATTTGTTAGTCGCTCACCTATATTAATGTGTGTTCCAAATCAGAGAAAAGATTGGCCTATCAAAAGATATAGTTTTCCAGACTAGCAAGATCTTGGCTAAAATGATGTTCAGTTGATGTTCTGGGGACGGTTTTATGAATTACAGACTTAAATTGTGTGAACCATTTGAGTTATGGTGTCTACAAATCATTCCGCCATTGATATTGGGGTGTGTGGAGAATCATTAAATCTGTCTCATACACGGGACAAATAGTGGCAGTAAAATGTACATCCATTCTTGAAGCGCACAGAGTCGAGGGGCTGAGGTGCTCTCCGCTTCGCACGATTATGTTGACTAATGGAGGTGGTTACAAGCAAGGCTTGATGGGCTCATTGCGTTTATTAGCTGTGACTTATGGGGAGACACATGCTAGTTAAATTACGAATATATCGATTGCATAACTTGATGTTGATTTTGTTCATGATGGTGGAATTGATGACTTCATGCAGTGTTGAAGGAGATTCTGGGGAAGCAGTGCTTCTGTGTTATTGCTGCCATGTATGGCACTTGTAATGGCGGTGTGGCTGATCCACGTGCTAGTGTGTTGTTTATTCCTGTGGTCTACTTTCCCTTTGTTTCGGATACATGGTGACACTGGGTGTTTGTGTCAGTACTAAAAGGCTTTCTTCCTGCTGATTAGGATATGTTGGTAACAGATCCATGCTGAAGGCATTGTGACCTGTGAAGATCTGGGATAGAATAGCTCTTCAGCAATAATCAAGTCTGGACCAGACAATCCAGTGATTGATATCATGAGCATTGATCTACACAATTGGGATACAATGACATGCATCAAACAAGTGAGAGAGCCTGACCACCCGATCTCGTTAGTCGCCTCTTCCGACAAGCATAGTCGGCTGATATCACAATCATGGGTTGTTGAAGACCTATTATAACCCCGGATCTTCACGGGTCTTGATACACAAGGCCCCAGCTCTAGATTCAAATACTCGTATATTGCCTCATCCTCTGAAGATCTATATTTGTGAATCTAACAGTTCTTCAAGCAATGGTACCGTATGACATCAATGGTTAGGTGTAGCCTCGCCTTGCCCCTGCATGTATACTTGAAAGATGGTCTGCCATAAACTAAACTCACAAGACCAAATGAAACTTATTAGACTTGGTCTTTAGACAAGTTGCAAGACTGAAAGCTGCAATGGTAGACACACAATCATCCAGGTCACACTTTAGCCAGCCCCTTACTAGTTGGCTCACTACAAACATATTCAAGATGATAGATCTACAATACCTATTGTTCAGATTCATTATTATCAAGGGAAACATTTGGTGACGGTACAAGAGCTTGACATAAACTTTCATAATATGGTGGGCAAGTGGACATGGACAGATTAGAAAATTACTTGTCCCCCATTATCTACATTACGAGAGAGAAGTACTCGACTGGCACCGGGGGGGAGTGTGCATGACTTTCCCCGGGGCATATTGTGTTGCAGATCAAGTCCCCAGTTCCTCCTGCTTGTCAAAAAGAGGCAGCTTAAATGGGGATCCGGTGGCCACAATGTCTGTCAGTTTTATGTATGGATGGTCATCAGGGAAGTCTAACTCACATGTCTGAATTCATGACTCTATTCCTACCATTGGGACCCCTCCTTTCCCGGTCAGAGTACTTGCCAAACTGCAGTGATATAGCTGTAAAATTGCTGACTAAGCAGAATACAGCATCCATTTGAGGCCTCAGCGTTGCTGTCTTTTGGCATCTAATTGTACATCTTTGTTTCCAGGCCCGCTACCAGCAGCAGAGGAATTCTATGGCCAATCGCCCGCTACCATCAGTCCCCCGTAATCAGGAGAGCCACCCAGGGAACCAGGGTGGAAGTCCCCGACATCGGGCCTCTGTTCCCGTGTGGAGAAGTTTCGATGACAACCAGATCCAGTCTACCTCTAGAACTAATGGCATATCAGAAAGTCCTAAGCGGAAACCTCCCCGCCCTATGAGCGAAATAGTTCCTTCTTCGACTGCTGGCACATTGTACGATAACAGGTACCCACAGAACGGCTGTGGTCAAAGTTCTAAACCGGAGGACCAATCAGGGGGGCTCTATATTTATGGGCCAAACGCTAGTGTGTCTAATCAACAAGCTATGTACAGTCCAAGGAGAACGGAGAGTCCAAATCGCCAGGCAGGGAATGCTGGGAAGTCATCAAGAATGTCACGTGTCGACACGGCCCCAGAACCTGTATTACGCTACCAGAATGATAGCCCATTTCAGTGTGAGAGGGAAGATTCCGAGTCACCTGGTGTCAGGAAAGGGTAGGTAACTCTTTTGTTGTATAATACTGTGAAATTAATTACTGTAATTCATACGGCACCATGACATCCACAAACTGTGCTCATCAGGTTTACAGTTGGGTGGAACTAAGTGAAATTAAGTTTTTATGTTTTGTGGTGATTCAGGACATTATTTTTCATCTATTTCACGCATCACATTTGCACTTGAACTGCAGCTTGACCAGCTACACATCTTGACACACATCCACAAGGACATAATCCTATATCTTTTCATATCCTGTCCTTTTTCATAATTTCATGTTTGAGTTCAGAAATGAGGAATTATGTTGACAATACTGGCAATCAAGAAGTTTAAGCAAACAGAATTGATCAAGTTACATCCATGCTTGGCCATGTAGGATCTTCTGTCCCCATGTTAGGAGAGCGGTACGTACGTCAACAGAGGGGACAATGTAAAGAGCGGCTCAATCTCAGGAAACTGGGTATTTGTTTTTATGATAATCAGTGGTATTTGCTGTGCGTTTAGATCCTATATATTGTAGCCCATGTGGCCCCATGTTTGTAGTAATGTGCCCAGACTGTCACATGTGGAGCTGGTGCTAAGTGTTGGCTGTGTTTGTGGGATGATGTCATGTGTTTGTCTAGCCTTGTTAGCCTCATCCATATACCATGTCAGATATAGCAGGAAAATCAAGGAATATTCGTAGTGTTAAAATGTAAAGTTTTCAATTAATCCCAACCTGATGCCTAAATAAGATGGCGATTCCCGACATGGGTACAATGTGTGAACCCCTTTCTGGTGTCCCCCACTATGATATTGCTGGAATATTGCTAACAGCGGCATAAAAAAACATCCTCACTCACTCACTTTGCAAGCGCAAAAGCAGTGAAACTTTATTTTGATGTACCATGGCATGGTCTCTACGACAATCAGTTTGGTTCCCCTGGAAACCAAATTGAAAAGAATTTGATGCTCGATTAACTGATATTTGATCCAATTTGGCCTGGAACTTGTTGTATGCAATGCGAAACCCTCCTCACTCACTGCAAGAGTATTCAGTAATTGCTCTCTTAACGATATGTATTAACGATAAATTAACTTCCGAGGTATGTCAGATTGAGATTAGTCTGTTATTTTTCCCCCAAGACATTTATTTGAGAAATACCAGACTTGTTATTCTGTTTAATAAGATTTTTAACTGGTCCATATTAAAATCTAAGAGACATGTGAAAGTTGTCTTCTGATGCGAATTGCTATCATATTAATGAAGGTGGTACTTCATGATGAGTGCAGTAGTGTAAGCTGGTGGTTCTATCAGCTATGCTGTAGAATGAAGCGCTTTTGGATTTGACAGTCTGTTATCTTTCATAAATTAAAAACAACAAATATGTGAACTTCAGAAGTTTTAAGTAGTTAGCATATTTGTTGTATCGGAAGTATTAAATGATTCCGATTATTTCTTAAAAGTAGAATACACAGACAAATGAATTTTGCTGATTGTATACAAACTTGTAAGATTTATTACTTAGGATGAGGTGGAAGCAAGTTAAAAAGTTTCAGTGTGATTTAAGCCTGAGATTTGTACATGCCACACATTGCGGAGTCCCTACCCGGAAAGAAAATTGGCTTATTGACATTTGCTTATCAAGAAACAACCTTCTGTCTGATATCTCTGTAACCAAATTGCATTCCCCAAGACACTCGTCTTTCTAGATATGACAAGACAACAGATGCTATCGTGTAGGCAGCATGTGACAAGGGTGTCTCCACTTCATGGGGTCGGTATCGTGGAGGGTCGTCGTGTGTAGCTTCCTGCTTGTGAACACGTGGAACAATACTTGTCAACTACAAAAGGGTTGATTGTAAGATGGGGTGGATGGATAGAATGACAAGATAGGGCTGTTTTGTTTGTTGTTTAATCGCACTCACTGTCACAGCGGTACAAACTAACATTTTTAGGCCACTAGTCCTTATAATGATAAAATAGAGCAAAACCCTTAAAAATGGGAAATGTCTACTAGTACTTAAGATGCCTTAACTTCTGGACAGTTTGACAACGACTAGAGGACTAGTGCCAGTTTCTAACGCTGACTCAGCAATATTCTGGTTATTCCAGCCTGTAAATAAACAAGTCTGGACCAGACAATCCTTTGATTGATGTTATGAACACCGACCCATGCAGTTGGGGTATGCTGACACACAATCAGCCAGTTCACCAGGCCTGACCACCCAGTCCATTAAATCGCCTCATACTACAAGAAGAGGGTTGTTTGGGACCAGTTCTAACTCGGAATCCCTATTGGATGATTCAGAATTTACGTCAACATTTCTTGCTTTTATAAAGGTATCGACATACAAACCAGTGTGTTTAACGTTTTTTACGTTTCCAACTCCGTAAACACAAAAACATTTAGAATTCAATTCTTATGAAAATATACATCAGTACTTAGCCAGTACTAATCAGCTCCACTAAATTTTCATTTTCGTTATATTTTCTATAAAAAAAAGGAAAACAGGCTTGAAAGATATGGTTGGAAACTGAATCTCTTCCCCAAAGCCTGTTTAGTAAGACAAAGTCTATTTGCCTTCCAATGAATGTACACTTGATCAGAAATTGATCTGATTAAATCAGTGAGGAGTGACACATCCTTGTGGGTCGAGGGATGACTCGGTTGCCTGCCTCTTCCTACTATCATGATACTATGTCTTAGTTTTGGGGTATTTTCAAACTGATTTGGTAGTCAGATGACATATATTAGATTCAGAGATGCCCTTGAAAGGGTTGCTTGAGGCAGATGAAAGAGATTCATCGAATGGGAATTTTTACATATTCTGTCCATTTTCTGTTATAATCTCAGGTCAATTCATGATGAAGTCACTGCTATGAGGGGCGGTTGGGTAGCCAACTGGTTAAAGCATTTGTTCGTCACGCTGAAGATTCAGGTTTGATTCCACTCATGGGTACAATGTGAAGCCCATTTCTGGTGTTCCCCGCTGTGATATTGCTGGAGTATTGCTGAAAGGCAGTGACACTCACATGTTCAGGGCTTTCTTATTTTTACTTCTTTCGGTATTAGGAATCTTAGTTTTTTATGTTCAAGGTTTGGAAAAGGCTCATGTTACTGATGACAAAATAAATGGTGATCATTTACAAGAAACATTAAAAAATGATACCTTAATTTCACTACATGAAGTTAAGGGAAGATATTGTGTCTTACCATTGTCATTTCAAAACCTCACTACCAGAGAATAACCAGTCCTGATTATCTGCCAAAAGAGATCACAGTGGGCTTAGGGGGCAAAATAGTGATGAAATAAATGGAAGAGTAAAAACTGGTGATGGCACCATGTGTAACAGCTTGTTATGATGGGAGATACCTAGCTCAGTCGGGGAACAAAAGTAAACTCTGAGGTGTAACTGTGTGGACAGTAAACAGAGAACTTTTGCAATCTTATTTTTTGTTGAGCAACCAACACAATGCCTTGCGAAATAAGATATGAAATATCAGTGGTAGAAACTAACATTTTTAGTCCACTAGTCCTTATAATGATAACATATAGCAAAACCCTTAAAAATGGCAAATTTCTACTAGTCCTTGACTATTCGGCAGACTATAGAGCTAGTGCCAATTTCTAATGCTGTAATAATCTCTTGCAAAAATAAGAAATAATAATATTTCAACTTTCTAATTTAATCTGTAAAGCATGAAATAAAACGTGTAAATTTAATTATGAACGATTTCTGTTTATCATAGTTTTATCTTTAATATCTTTTCATGTGAATATTTTCATTTTATGTGTCGATACAATGTATCAAGAGACACTTTGAATTGATACATAGATATATTGGTTTTCACTGATAACTCTTCTCAAAGGGACTTATATGGATTAATAGGAACTAGTGTTCACAATCTCACAAACGGACATATTTTGAAAATCTGAATACTGTCCAACATCTCTTTAATTCTTTACAACCGTAATTTCTCCACCTACGTCTTTGTGACTGCATGTCGTGTAATTGGAAGTTTGGAAAGAAGCACGAGATTATCAGCGTAGATAATCACGCAAGTGTTGACAGTTGTGACACACCTCATTGTCTTCAAATCTTGTCTCTCGTTGTTTACGCTCTGCGAATCACTGTGTGTCCTGTACATTAAAACCCTTGCCATTGTGTGGGAGGAAGTATACACCACGTTTCAGAGAGGGACTTCACAGCAAAGCATCAGGATGAGCCAGTAATTGCGCTGGTCGGAACGCGATGGCAAGGCCTTCAAATGACGTGTGTTCATGTTCGAGTAGGGTATTCCAGCTATTTCAATGTCCTTTGGTCGGTATTGTTCGCTTCTGTTGAGTCACTTGCAAAATGGCCATTTCTATGACTTGATCATATTTAGCTATAGAACCTCTTCATGGTGTCGTTATTAACACTATAGTGCCTCACAATGGGACACATTCTTTGACAGGTAAACTGCAAGAAGTATTTACTGTCATAAATATGAAGTAAAGAATAGATGTTGGAACATTTGGAATTTGCAATGTTTTTGTACTTTATTTTTACTTATATATTGGGAATAAAAGAGTCGTTTACTTGAAGATTTGCAGCAATAGTATTTGAATCTTGGGGCCTAGATATTTATACCTTGAACATTATGCTTATGACCAGCACCACTCGTGCTTATTTTTGAACACTGCATGGAAAACATGGATACTAGGTCATAATATTCAAGTGCTGTTTTTTTAAACTGAAAGGAAGATCGGATCTCTCTTCACAATCTTGGCCCCGTTCAACAAAGTGATCATAGCTATAAGTGATCGTAACTCCCATACTTTAAAATGGACTTACGACAGTCCTAGCTCTAAGACGATCGCAATTTCCATACTTTAACATAGATTTACAACAGTCGTAGTACTAAGACGATCATATCTCCCATACTTTAACATCGATTTCCGACAGTCCTAGCTCCAAGACGATCGTAACTCCCATACTTTAACATAGACTTACGACAGTTATAGTGCTAAG